CATCCCGCTCAAATACTAATCCAACATCTACGGTGTTCAAAATATACCGTAAAATCCATTTCACAGCTTGCCAATGCTCCTTGCCAGGATCATGCATGTACCTGCTCACACACTTGTCCTACTGTCAACTTGACCGTATTTCTCCCCTAATGGAAACCAATCTTTCTTCTCTTACTGTCCTTGATCTTTCACACAATGGAATATCCTTCCTGCCCAGATGGATATTTAGTCTTGGTGCGCTAGTCTCCCTTGATTTGGGATACAATCAATTTCAGGCGCCATGGCCAGAAGGTCCCTGGAACTTGACTTCTCTCCAATTCTCGCATTTGCCTCAAAACATCCTAAATGGGTCATTACCCCTGGAGATTTTAGATCTAAGTACTCTCGTTTTACTTGATTTATCCAAGAACGAGATCGTCGTAGCAACCTGACAAACCTCCATCATTTTGACATGTCGGACAACAAGCTGAATTCCAGCATACCTAGCTGGTTGTACGAGTCCAGACAGATAAATTTTCTGAATCTTGCGCGAAACTGGCTGCAAGGTGTAATCTTGGAAGACATAGCAAACCTGAGCTCCATAGTCTCGCTGGACTTGACTGCCAATCAACTTACGGGAACAATAACTAAGAAGATATAGGAAACCCGTGCAACATAAGTTTCATAAGTATGTCAAAAAACAAACTCGAGGGACGAATATCAGATTTGATTGATGGTATGTCGGTCTGCTCTTCTTATGTTCTCAAATCCTTATATCTGGACAATAATCAGCTCTCTGGCCAATTAACTGATAATCTTGGATATTTTCAAATGTTGAGCAGCGTAACCTTGGTTCCAACTCCATATCTGGTCCAATCCCTTCCAACATAGGGGTCTTGTCCTTCTTGGAAACAATGCTTTTGGGAGATAACCAAATAAATGGAACTCTCCCTCCTAGTCTTGGAAAACTTTTCAGGGTAAAAGAGTTAGACATTTCTCGAAATATGATGGAAGGCATTGTGACTCAGAGTCAATTTGAGAATCTCACCAACATAAGGTACTTGAAGGCGCCTGGAAATTCCTTGACTTTAGAAGTAGATCCCAGTTGGGTTTCTCTGGCCCAGTTTTTATATCTTGATTTGAGTTATTGGAAATTAGGTCCTCAGTTTCCCAACTGGCTCCGTTTACAAAAGGAGATAAATTTTCTGGATTTATCCTCTACTGGAATCTCAGGTGCTATTCCTCCGTGGCTTTGGAACATGAGTACAGCATTTGATTACTTGGATCTTTCCTATAACCAGCTAAGTGGTGGTATTTCAAATATTTGCTGTATAAATAAAGTGCACCTGAGCTCAAACCAATTCAGTGGCCCATTACCTTCTACAACTCCTGATCGCCTGTTTACTTTAGACCTCTCCAATAATTCCATTTCTGGAGGTCTCTCTCACTTCTGTGTCATGGAGTTCGCCCAAATGGAAAAAGAACGATAGAGGTTCTTGATCTTGGAGAAAATCTTCTTTTGGGTGAAATTCCTCATTGTTGGATGAATTGGACAGTTCTAGGCTTCATTAGTTTGTCAAACAATAATCTAAGTGGAAGTATCCCAATGTCCATCGGATATTTAAGTACTCTGCTCTCTTTGCACTTGCGCAACAACAATCTCTCTGGTGACATACCTTCTTCCCTGGAGAATTGTACAGAACTAATTACAATTGACGTTGCAGGAAACAAATTAGGGGGGAAGTTACCAACTTAGCTGGGTCCAAGTCTTTCCAAATTGAGGATTCTCATCCTGCGCTCTAACAAGTTTAATGGTGAAATTCCTCCTGAACTATGCCACCTGTCTTCCCTGCGAGCCTTAGATGTTTCCAACAACGATTTTGTGGGTGTGATCCCGAGTCGTTTCAAGAACATTACCTCCATGGCAACAGAAGAGAGCGTTTACTTGCGCAATAATGAGACAACTTACTTCTATTCTGGTTACCCAGAGAGTGTGCATTTGGCAATTAAAGGAAATGCATACGAATATAACTGGATTCTTGGACTTTTCTGCAGCATTGACCTCTCAAACAACAATTTTTCTGCTCAAGATCCCTCTTGAACTAACCAATCTTTTGGGGTTGAAATCGTTGAATCTGTCCGGCAATCAACTGGGAGGAACGATTTCAAGCAACATCGGCCAAATGGGACGACTAGAATCTCTTGATCTATCAAGAAATCATCTCTCAGGGACAATTCCTTCTAGCATTTCAAAACTATGCTCCTTGGGTTTCTTGAATTTGTCTTTCAATAACTTGTCAGGGAAAATTCCATCAAGCACGCAAACGCTAAGTTTTGATGCTTCTTCCTTTGCTGGTAACCAACTTTGCGGCCGCCCCCTGACAGTGAATTGTGGCAGCAGCAGCACTGATGGTGTGACTGTAATCAAGGAAGAAAGTGTCGAAACTGCTGTGGATTATTGGCTTTATATCTGCATTGGTGTGGGGTTTGTGATCGGCTTTTGGGCTGTTTCTTTTACTCTAATACTGAAGAAGTCATGGAGATACAGGTTTGTGGATGAAGCTTGGTACAGGTTACAGGAATAAAATAGCAAACAACTGTCTTGTGACCTGCATCATGATGTAAACGAGTTGGTCCGCTATTTATATATTTTCTCATACCCAATTTACAGATTGATTACCCCTCTCCAGTAATAAAAATGTTTCTTAACCATGTCATGCAATAAGAGGCCACTCTTCCAGTTTGTGACATTTATACATCCCCTTTCTCATTTTCAAAAGTTTTATTCCACTACATTCATGATATTGGCTTGTTGACAGATTTCAAGAACACGGTTTGACTAAGTAGGAAAAAAAATTGAGACATAAAATTATGAAATTTCAGACAATGGATTTTTGACATTTTTGTGTCTACGGAGGAAGAAGTAAAACAAGAAATTAGAGCCACCATCCATGCAAATTATGTTAGTCTCCATATATTATTGATAAATTTTTAGTTTTACCCCCATTAAATTTTTGAAAACTATCCCCAATGCAAATTATGTTAGCCTCCATATACAAATTATGTTATTACACGTCCTTGAATCAATCAAAACCATTAAAATCTCATAAGCCAACAAAGAAAGAGCAGAGTGCAATGAGATCTCTAGATGTGGTGATGATTATCTTGGGAGAAGTTGTTCTTGTGTGCACTGGCAAATGCAAGGGGACTAGGAGTGAGGGATTGGCAAGCAAGATTTTGGAAATTCTTTCTGTATCCTATAAAAATGTGCAAATCTTTGAAAAGAAATTTGTGAATCTTCTACATATATCTTTTTAGAAATTAGGTTTTTGCCCCTCCAAAATTTTAAAAGTCCTTTTATATCCTATTAAAATATTAAAAGTTTCACTTATATTCTTGTAAATATTATACTTCGTCCTCCAAAGTTTTATCAAAAAATATGAGAATGCCTCTCAAGCATACATCTTGCCCCTCAAATCCCAAGCCCTGGTCCCGCTAGTGCTTCTGTACACATTAAGTATCATCATAATTCCTAGCTACGTCAAGCCATTTAATTTTGACTGCCGTCTTTCTTGTTCTAATTTTCACCGCTGGCATCCCATTATCACGGATTGCTGATTCCTGCTCTTGCAAGTTAAGCTCAAGCATGTATATCGCAAAGCCAACAGATGGACAGATGCACTAGCAAAGTTAGGTTGCAATCTGGATAAGCCTTCTGTGATTTTTGAATCATGTCCTCCTGAAATTTCTTTTGTTTTTGATGAGGACAAACAGAGGGTCTGCTTTCCCCGCTAGCTTTAGGTTGAATTGTAATAATAGCTTAGTGACAACTTTGTACTTCTGGTTAATTTATGCAATCATCTATTTACCAAAAAAATGTGGGCAAATTCCACTTTACACCCCCTATGGCTTAGCATTTTTTTACATAACCTCCCTATGGTTTCAAAAGTTATACATAATTTCCTCATGATTTGGATTAAAGTATCAAAGTGACGGGAATGATCATTCGTAACGGAATCATCTACAATGTCAAAAATACCCTTAGGTAAAGTTGAAAATTATTTATTAACCAAGGGGAGTTATGTGTATATTTTGAAAACTATAAGGAGGTTATACGGTAAAACATAAAAACCATACGGGATTAGTGTGTTATGTATTTATAAGGGTAAAAATTTCAACATTTTTAGAAGTTCTGTTACGAATGACTATTTCTGTCACTTTGACATTTTAATTCAAATCATGAGGAGGTTATGCATAACTTTTGAAACTATAGGGAATTATATAAACAAATACTAAATCACAGGGGGGTAAACTATAATTTGCCAAACAAATGTAGACATGGTGATTCTGTCAATTTCAGGCACCTGAAAGTCTCTTGTCTTCGTTTAAGTCAAGTCTACTTCGCTTTTAATGCCACAAGAAAAATTGCAAAGTGAACAACTAATAATTTGAGAATTTTTACGCGTTAAAGGAATTTAAGTGCCCTATGTGTTTTCGATTCCGGATCATAACATAGCAGTTTCATAACATTGTACAGATTTCCCAATAGATCAATGTTATGGACTATCAGTCTATCACCAATCATGCACACAATGTTGTTGTATTCGCGAAAATTTTTGATACATATGAATAAAACTTTTCATATATATTTGATATAATAATATATAATGTTATAACAAATTCATCAACCGAATGAAACTGGACAAAACCCAATGGCTCTGAGTCCATGACTTGTATACAACAACCTATTTGCGAACTTCTTAAATTTTAAAAATTTCCAATTTGACTCGGCACATTCTAATCAAGGCTTTCGAAGACCAAGACCTCAAATTTCCAAGTAAAACAAGAAGAATTTGAAAAAGGATACAAGTTTTCCATAATTATAAGCCAAGAATTAATGCATCAATGGTAATTAAAATTTTTGGCAAGCGATAGAGAAAGTACTACTATTAGCTGCTAATTAAAGCAAAATTTTGATTGATGGACAAATTCAGTCATCCTTAGTCAATGGCATTAATTCAAGCTGGAAAATTTCCACTCAACTTTCTTCCCAACAAACGAATATGTCTCTCTTTCCTCCACTTCTCACAGATAGTTTTCCAAATTCAATTCTACCCACTCGAGAATTTAAGACATACTAATTTCCACCGGCAGCTTCGAAGAAATGCTAATTTCCACCAGCAGCCTCGAAGTCATGCGTAGACCTGGTCCTTGTCCTGGAAAGAGCAGAGTACTGGCAGAAACCTTTGTGCATCCTAATGAACTGCTATATAAACATAATGGTTCAAGCAGATTTAACTTTTACGTACAGCTGGGATTTCACATTTCTACAAAATAAATCTCCTTTGTAACACTTCAAAGTATCTGTAATACAATGAATTTTAGATCGGACGGGCCAATATATGCGGCAGGTGCCCAGCTTTCCATGTTTCTTGTAATCATAACAGTAGCTTTACTCAACTGTTGTGGTGGAAATGGAGCTGGTGCTTGTATAGAGTACGAGAAACAAGCTCTTTTGACCTTCAAGAAAGACTTGATAGATCCCTCGAATCGACTTTCGTCATGGACTGCTGCTGATGCTGATTGCTGCAAATGGGAAGCAGTTGCCTGTGATAACATCACCAACCATGTTACGGAACTTAACCTTCAACATCCCAATGGAACCTCTCTTTGGGATCAGTATGGTTATAATTACTTTGAGATGTTTGCCCTCAGAGGCAGACTAAATCCTTCTTTGCTCAATCTGAAACAACTCCGGTTCCTCGATTTGAGCCTAAATGACTTCGAAGGAGTCCCAATCCCCAGTTTTATAGGGTCCCTCAAAAGTCTTGAGTATCTCAATTTATCATATACAGGATTCTCTGGAATCATACCACCTCAGCTGGGAAATCTGTCAAATTTACGCACTCTGAGCGTGGAAGGAGAATATATTCAGGATGACAATCTGCAGTGGCTGGCTGGTCTTTCCAATCTTGAGCACCTAGTTATGGCTTCTGTGAATCTCAGCAGAGCGTCTAATTGGGCACAGGTGATTAATACGATTCCTTCATTGGTAGAGGTACACTTGTCTCACTGTCAACTTGACCATATTTCTCCCCTGATGGAAACCAATCTTTCTTCGCTTACTGTCCTTGATCTTTCACTCAATGAAATATCCTTCATGCCCAGATGGATATTTAGTCTTGGTACGCTGGTCTCCCTTGATTTGGGTCAGAACAATTGTCAAGTTCCATGGCCAGAAGGTCCCTGGAACTTGACTTCCCTCCAAGTTTTGAATTTGAATCAGAACCAACTAGGTGGTTCATTACCGCGAGAGCTTTTATATCTGAATAAGCTCGTTTCCCTTGATCTATCCAAGAACGAGATCAATGATCTAATGCCAACTGCTAGTAGCAACCTGACAAACCTTCTACATCTTGACATTTCAGACAACCAGCTGAATTCCAGCATACCTAACTGGTTGTACAAGTCCAAACACATCAAATTACTGAATCTTGCGCGCAACTGGCTGCAAGGTGTAATCTTGGAAGACATAGCAAACCTGAGCTCCATAGTCGAGTTGGACTTGACTGCCAATCAACTTACCGGAACAATACCCAAGCAAATAGGAAACCCTTGCGACATAAGATTCATAAGTATGTCAGATAACAAACTCGAGGGACGAGTATCAGATTTGATTGATGGTATGTCGGGATGTTTTTCTTATGCTCTCAAGATCTTGTATCTAGAAAATAATCAGCTCTCTGGCCAGTTAACTGATAATCTAGGACAATTTCAAAATCTTGAGCAGCTTAACCTTGGTTCCAACTCCATATCTGGTCCAATCCCTTCCAACATAGGGTTGTTGTCCTCCTTGGAAACATTGCTTTTGGGAGATAACAAACTAAATGGAACCCTCCCTGCTTCTCTCGGAAAACTTTCCAAGTTAAAAGAGCTCGACATTTCTCGCAATATGATGGAAGGCATTGTGACTCAGAGTCAACTTGAGAATCTAACCAACATAAGGTCTATGAAGGCACCTGGAAATTCCTTGACATTAGAAGTAGATTCCCGTTGGGTTTCTCCAGCCCAATTTCAGCATCTTGATTTGAGTTCATGGAAATTAGGTCCTCAGTTTCCCAATTGGCTCCGTTTACAAAAGAAGATATATCATCTGGATTTGTCCTTTACCGGAATCTCAGGTGCTATTCCTTCGTGGCTTTGGAACTTGAGTGCAGAATTTGACTACTTGGATCTTTCCCATAACCAGTTAAGTGGTAGTATTTCAGATATTTGCTGCATAAACGAAGTGCATTTGAGCTCAAACCAATTCAGTGGCCAATTACCTCATACAACTGCACATCGTGTGTTTACTCTAGACCTTTCCAATAATTCATTTTCTGGAGGTCTTTCTCATTTCTTGTGTCGTGGAGCCGGAGTGAATAAAGAACGAGGCATACAGGTTCTTGATCTTGGAGAAAATCTTCTTTCAGGAGCAATTCCTGATTGTTGGATGAATTTGCCAATGCTAGTCTTCATTAGTTTGTCAAACAATAATCTAAGTGGAAGTATCCCAATGTCCATCGGATATTTGACTTCTCTGCTCTCTTTGCACTTGCGCAACAACAGTCTCTCTGGTGATATACCTTCTTCCCTGGAGAATTGTACAGAACTAATTACAATTGACGTTGCAGGAAACAAATTAGGGGGGAAGTTACCAACTTGGCTGGGTCCAAGTCTTTCCAAATTGAGGATTCTCATCCTACGCTCTAACAAGTTTCACGGTGAACTTGCTCCAGGACTCTGCCACCTGTCTTCTCTGCGAGTCTTAGACGTCTCCAACAACGATTTTGTGGGTGTGATTCCCAGTTGTTTCAACAACTTTACCTCGATGGCAACCGAAGGGAATGTTTCCTTACGCTATAATGAGATAACTTACTACTATGACGGCTACCCCGAGAGAGCACAGTTGGCAACCAAACGAAATGAATACGATTATCATGGCACGGTACTTTATCTTATCTGCAGCATTGACCTCGCAAGCAACAATTTTTCTGGAAAGATCCCTGATGAGCTAATCAATCTTTTGGGGTTGATATCTTTGAATTTGTCCGGCAATCAACTGAACGGAATGATTCCACGGAACATCGGCCAAATGGGACAACTGGAATCTCTTGATCTATCAAGAAATCATCTTTCTGGGTCAATTCCTTCTAGCATTTCAAAACTATCCTCCTTGGGTTTCTTGAATTTGTCCAACAATAACTTGTCAGGGGAAATTCCATCAAGCACCCAAATGCAAACTTTCGGTGCTTCTAGCTTTGCTGGAAACCAACTTTGCGGGCGTCCCCTGACAGTGAATTGTAGTAGCAGCAGCACTGATGGTGTTACTGCAATCACTGAAGAAAGTGCTGAAGCTGTGGCGGACTATTGGCTTTATGTTTTCATTGGCTTGGGGTTTGTGGTCGGATTTTGGGGTGTCTGTTTTACTTTAATACTGAAGAGGTCATGGAGATACGCATACTTTCAGTTTGTGGATGAAGCTTGGGACTGGCTACAGCTACAGGCATGCCATTTGTCCGCTAAATTCATGCTAAAGGGGTGAGGAGCAGGTGTCTTGGATTCTATTTCTTTAAAGTTATTCATCATGTCTTGTGTTCTTGTGATTCTAATATGTTATCCCTTCCCCTCACGAAACTTATTTGAATAACGAGTATTGCTCTGTCCGACTCTCCATAGTTAGCATATTAAATTAAGTTCATAATTTTATAAGTTTCTGTATCTGTATTTAGCAGTTTTTTTTAAGTCAAAATTTTGTTTAATTTCTTATTAATTAGTTTGAGTATCCTATTAGATTATTTATTGTCATAGTATTTTTCTTGTTTATCAAGTCATGTTGTCTATTATAAATTTATAAGTAGAGAGTCTTATTAATATATTTAGTTGACAAAAAAAAAAAAAGATACTATTGTTATTATTGTGATTAATGATATATTATTAATTTTATTTCTCTTCTCCCACACATATATTTTTTTGTGTATAAATTAGTCTCTTCCATATATTTTCAGCACTAAATTAATCTCCCCACCCTTCTAATTTTCATGTTATAAGTAAAGCAATTGCGAGTGAGGGTTGCAGTAGTTTCGGATCCAAAAGTCCATCTTTAGAGTTTCTGGATGGAGTTAGCTTCTTTTGTCCATTGCCAATAACTTCAAATGTTCTTTACAATCTTCTTAATTTTGTGAATATATATATATATGTATACACACCGCAGTTTTTTTTATAATCAATTTACAAAACTGTTTCCCTTAATTTTTATACTATGTAAATGCTTTGCTGCTATATTCCTGCTCTTATTGTTCTGTCATCTATTGACAGGTGTCGAGCCTGTGCAATAATAAGTACGTATTAATATATATATATATATATAAACTTTTGTATATAACGGTGAGTAGGATCGAATTCATAAGAGTTAGGGATAATTCATTTCTTCTAGAGTCCAGAGTACGAGGATTTTTATAAAAATGGAAATAATTAAATAACTCAAATAAAAAGGCCTACATGACAATTTATTAAAATTGAATTGATAATAAATAAACTTTAGCCAAAAAAAATAACTTCAGAAATGGTTCATTCAATTAATTACTGATGCAATAATAATTTCATTTACTCATTGATAAACAAATCATCCGCTTTGTGGATGAAGCTTGGTACAGGTTACAGGAACACTTTTTCTCTATTAGATTCATATTAAAATAGCAGCAGTAATAATGGCGTTACAATAATCAAAGAAGAAAGTGCTGGAGCTGTGGTGGATTATGGCCCTTATGGGCTTTATATTTCCGCCGGTGTGGGGTTTGTGGTCGGCTTATATGAACAAGATCAGAACTGAAGAATCCATTAGACCTGGTGCGAAGTGGATTAAATGGAAAGTAAATGTTAATGAGAACCCACAAGTGATGACTAGAGTCAATACTTTTTGATTTGAGTGGCAATACTTTTGAAGTCCCATTCCTAAAGGTTTCCTGGAACTTGACTTGGATTTGTTGTTTAACAGCTTAAAGGATGCATTACCCTAGAGAGCTGTAGCACCCAATCTTTCCGATTCGGGGGTTTGATATAAATTTAATTAGTCTTGTTTGAATTAAATTAAATTATGAAACTCTATGTTTTGGACTAATTGAATTGGGCTGGTATTAAATGAATTGTTAAATTAAATTAAATTTATAATGTTCATGTAAGCTTAAGTGGACTAATTGAATGCACTATCTAAACCTACCTGCTACTAGAGCTCAAGCTAGATGGATTTTTAGACTTACAAGCCACCCAAATGCAAGAATGCTCCGAAGAATTTTCTTGAAGACTAAACACAATTTCAGTTGTGTTTGGATTGCATTTTCCATGGATTTTTCATTGAAAAATTACTGTAGCGATTTGATGTATGTGAGGTAAAAAGGTAATAGGAAAATGTGTTCACGAAAAACAAGACCATTTTTCGATGGAAAATAGCTATCCAAACGTTAACGTTTCTCAAGAGTTTTTCCCCTCAAATCATGATATCACCCATTTTCTACACACAAATTATAGGAATCATAAAATCATCTGTTTTGATCGAAGAACAAGTCTTTTTGACCCTTCAATTAAAGTATTTTAAAGAGAAGAATCAGGATATTGATTGAGATTAACTTTTTTTTATTTAAGAATTTTCAAAAATTATAATCTTTTTATTCTTTGATTTAATATATTTGATATTTGTACAAGCTATCTTGTCTTTTTATCTTAGGCAACGAAAGTTGTGCTACACACTCTAACTAATCACATTTCACTTGCTCTGGAGTCTGGAGTCTGGAAACCGGAATCAATCGACTAAGAAAGAAGCTGCGAAACATGTTAGTCAAACTGAAGTTTAGTTGCTGACCGTACATTGACCGTCCAAATTGCTACGTTCAAAACTAATATATATTGTTTTTTATAAAAGAAAAAAAAAAAAAGGTTAAACCTGTCTAGACAGAATTAAGAAACAAGAAGGCATGTTATTCTCTCTTTCTCTATCTCTCATTCCCAGACATTTCTGTCTATCTTTCCCTAACTTGAAGTCAAGTTTGTAGTCGTAGATGTTACTAATTCATCAGGCTAAACTATTATTAATGTTACTCTTATAGTTCCCAGCAGCATACATGTTTTCTCTATCAGATAATGACATTAATTTACTCCTTGTTTACAACATAAATTTGAAGCTACAGTCACTTTTCAGAAGAAATTGACAGAAAGTAAGGTCAGGGGCCAAATATAACATTTACATGCGACCAAGACCTGTACATTGGTCCATTCAATCGAAATGCTATAAGCTGAAGGCAACTATACGGCTCATATCCATCAAGAAACATGAGAAAACACACAAGTAATAATTTGCAGGGTTTCTTTCCCAGAAAAGCCATTAACCTGCAGATAAAGCAGGAATTCATGCGATCTTATTGTCTTTTATGGAAATCTTTGCATTTTTTATTTTTATTTTTATTTTTCCTATCACCTCTCTAAGACCTTAACAACGGGTAGGTTACTCGTCAAGCAACACAAGAGAGTGAGGGAAACTTAAACAGATTATTCAGGAGGACTAAAGACAAATTTTATTTAACAGTAAATAAAGAAAGATTCAAGGGACAAACAGCTACTGAAAAGATCAAACCACACTCAAAGTTGGAAATGGACCAAAAAGGGTGTTACTAGCATTTGAGATGAGATGAATACACGGATACTCACTTATTCTGAATCTTTTGAACCTGCAGTATGCCATCGAGGTAAGTTTCTTTTATATGAGCTATCTTGGCTCTGTCCTTTTCTCCACAATCTACACTCAACTGCGGGCAATTGTCAATCTTCAGTTCCTCTAATTCATTGAGGCGATGCATTCCTGCAGGCAGGGACCTTAGCCTGGGACATTCCGCAATTTGAATGCTTTCCAGTGCCGTAAGATTCTTCAGCCACTCAGGTAACTCCAGAAAGTTGGGACATCTGGCAATCCTCAGGTTTCTCAAGGTAAGAGCACTACCCTCAAGCCACCGAGGCAAAACAACCAACTTTGGTAGTCCGTCAATAACAAATGACTTGAGGTTCTCGAAGCATTGAACATCTTTGGAACTCAATTCTGGTAGTCCTCCAATAACAAGTGATCGCACCATCTTAATCCCTTCTATATCTTGCCATTCAAACAAAGTGAGCTCGTCACAATCAATAATGTAAAGGTTTTCCAGAGCAGTGAGGTACTTCATGCTACTTGGAAGGAAGGTCAATTTTGGGCAATCGACTATAGTCAGTGTTCGAAGATTCCTAAGATGTTTTAGTTCATCAGATAAGGAAACCAGATTCTTACAGCTATATAGGGATAATGACCGAAGAGAGGACAAGCATCCAACACTTTTATCTGGAAAAGATTCTTGTTTGGTGGTTAGATATAGATGCCTCAGGCTGATCAAGTCTTCTGCATCTTTGGGTAACTCCGTTAGTTGTGTACAAAGAGCTGCTCGTAATATGAGCAAGCAATGTAACTTGCCAATGGAATTTGGTACAGTTTGAATACTGCAATTTGAACTAAGATCAAAATACTTCAAACGCTTCAACTCGCCAATGGAACTTGGCAACATCTCAAAAGATGAGTGACTTAAATCTAGTGTTCGCAGATGCATGAATCTTGAAACACAGTTATCAACAAAAGATGTACTAGTTGGCCCCACTTCATCAACCGGAAAAAAGATGGTCCTCAGACCATGATTTTGAAGTAGGGAAATTGGTAACTGCTTCCCCGACTCATCATAATCAGAGAATGCTACATGTTTCACCTCTTCTGGAATGTTCTGTGTATGGGCATAAACAGTTGAACACTCAGACCCTGCCACTGACAGCAGAAAATCATGCACAGTGTCATTCATTTTGCACATTGAGCTGAAAAATAGGCCATTTTCCTCGATATCCTGAAAGAAAGATTTGAAGGACAACTGATTAAAATACTCCAAACCTATCTCTTCAGGTTCTTCAAAATGAGTAGACGTGTGAATAAGCCCTTGAGATATCCATAGCTGAATCAGTTTATCTATCTCAATCTCACAACCCTTCGGAAATATTGAGCAATAGGCAAGACAAGCTTTTAGATAGGATGGCAACTTTTCATAGCTCAATTTCAATACTGGAAACATTTTGCCATTCTCTTGCGAGTCCCATACAGAATGATCTCTGATGCCCGTCCACTCAATTTCTCTAATTCTCCCACGCAATGAACTCCCTAAAAGAATCACACCCAAGGGAACTCCTTCACACTTCTGCACTATATCAGCCCCAATCCTCACAAGATTTGGATACTTTTCCTTTTGTCCTTCTTCAAAAGCCATTTTCAAGAACAATGACAAACAATCATCATTTGCCAGCCTTTCTACACAATAAATGGGCATTGTCCCAATTGCTGATGCAACTGATTCATCACGAGTCATCACAACAATCTTACTTCCCTTAGCACCAGCCACCAGAAAATCCTTCAACTGATTCCACTTCCCTTCATACTCGTTCCACACACCATCCAGAACAAGCAAATAAACCTTTTTGCGCAGAATGTCCCCAACCTTCTCGTAATTCCTAAATGGCATTCTTTTGTTTGCTGTAGCAGATTGAATAATTCTCTCAACCACTTTCCTCACACTAAAGCAAGGTGAAAGGTTTACCCAAATCCTCAGCTGAAAATGCTTTACTACCCTCTCATCGTTGTACACCAATTTCACAAGAGTACTTTTTCCTATCCCACCTACTCCAACAATTGGCAAAATGGAAAGAATCCCTTCATTGCTCCATTCGAGCAGAGCTTCCACAATCCTGTCTTTGTCATTCTGTCTAATATCCCTATCCGGCAATATAAATTTTCTACGTTTTTTAACTATTTCTGACGAGTAAGCTGCACCACTTGCACCCACACTTCCACACACACTTGATGCCACCGATGAATGAAAAGCAGCACTTTGGGACAGAGCACATGGGGGCGGCTGGAAGAAGTAAGCTGGACCACTTGCACCCACACTTCCATCCACACTTGATGCCACCCATGAATGAAAAGAAGCACCGCCACCACAAGGAGGAGATACAGAAACAAGATCGAACCCACCATATAGGGGCGACTCTGACAAGTAAGCTGCACCACTTGCACCCACACTTCCACACACACTTGATGCCACCGATGAATCAAAAGCAGCACCACCACACCTAGGAGGAGATAAAGAAACAAGATGGAACCCACCATATAGGGGGTCGCCAGCATTTCTGGGCTTACCATACATATCAATTTTGTGCAATCTATTTCCTAACCTTTGCATTTCATATCCCATTTTAACTCGAAACGCGAAAGAACGTATCTTATAGAAGATATGCCTGACCTGAAGAAGTTTTCTATGATGATTTTGCTGTTGCTGGGATTTCAAGGTGTAGAATCCGCACTCGTCAAAGATATCTTCGGCATCGTACAAAATGTCTCTCAGCATCTTTGCTGCTTTGTCGTTGTCTTCTCCGAAGCATTTGCTCCTTATGGTCACGACGGATTCTTGAAGCTTCTTCAGCTCATCATCCAAATTCCATTTCAGTGCGATGTCACGAACCGAAGATGATGAGAATTTGTCCTGAAATATGTCTGAAAGAGCAACTATATCCATGTTATTGGATGATGGAGAGGGTTGGAGACTTGGAACAGATATACTTTGCGAGTAAAAGCAGATGAATTATGAAAGGCGATAAGGTGAGATCTTATAGTAGGTTAGGAAGAGGAAGCGGAGAAGAAGATGATTGCTTCAGGGGTTGACTTGAGAAGACTTTGAGTAAAAAGCTTTTCCTTTTTTTTTTTCTTTTTCCTTTTTGGAGATTTGGTTGAAAAGTTTTATTTTTTTATTTTACTTAAACGAACTTTTTCTTACAAAGGGGAAGGCGAGCGGTGGAGTCAAGTAGTCAACGACGTACCCTAGTAGTAGTAGATACACATTTTTATTTGTTTCCTAGCAAGGGGTGTAAAAGAAATTAAAATTTGTTTTCCTAAAAAAAGAAAGTGAAAATTTGTTTAATTACTCCCTCCGTCCCATTCATTTGGTTATGTTTGGGGAATCCAACTTTTTAAGAATAGTGATTTGATTGTGATGTTTGTGCTTCTCTTTTCAATTTTACCCCTCAAATTCAAATTTTAAATTAGAATGTATGATTAAAAAGAAGGGTTATATTGAAAAGAGAGTGTAAAAGTAATTTTGACTTTTCTAACATGACAATTGTTTTAAGACATCCTAAAATGGAAAGCATAACCAAATGAATGGGGCAGAGGGAGTATTTTTAATAGCTTGAAATTGTGTTTAAAACATCAAGTCAAACTAAAGTCTGACGAGGTAAATAGTCTAAACTGTTTGCATACAAATTCTGATCATTTCAGAAACTTCCTTTAAGATTTTTTATAATTATGCTTAAATACTCTCTAATATTAAAAATTACACTCCCCTCCCCTTGAATGACATATTTGATAACTATTTTAGTGTCTGTCAGTAAAAGCTTTCTTAAAATTTGAGAAAAAGTGCTAAAACATAATTTTGTACCAAATTTGCTCTCACTGTAAATAAGAGGAAACGTGTACCACTTTTTTATGAAATTAACAAAAGAAAAAAACTGTAAAATAAGTACAATAATAGGCTTAAAAAGCATAAGCAACAATATTTGCCAATATGTTAAGTTATAAAATTTAAGTGCATACTAAGCAATTCAAGCCACAAAAGAACCATCTCAACAATTTCAAAGTTGATCAGGACTAAACACTCTGCACATGTAGAGTGTTCAATGCAAAAAAGAACTACTAGGTATGCTAAGCAATCCACAAAACCCAAAAGGGAATTTAGCCATTTTCGTCCTTAAACTTTTACACTAAAATCAATTTCGTCCTTTATGATTTTTTTTAACCAATTTAGTCCTTCGACTATTTTAAAGTCTCCAATGTAGGATTTTTGTGGCGGCGACACCACATTTTATATATTCTGTACAACCGGTGATGGTATATCTGTCATTTTAAATTAAATTCTTTAATTTATACGGACTTCTTCTTCTCCAATGGAAATCTCATCCCATTCATCAGAAATTCACACAAACTCTCTCTCACACACACTCAAATCATGAAACAAAATTCACAAAAGAAAAAACAAAAAATCAAGAACTGAGTAATGTCGTACATCTACTTATTAGTGCGACTGACAATTGGGTTCGCAGGGAGAAGGGCACTGAAGAACCAGAGTGTTAGCGGCCAAGTTTTCAAAAACAAGACCAACTCATGGAGATCGAATTTCCACGCATTTTCTCTTTCCGTCCCCCGTTTTTGGGTTTTGGTGTTTGGGGGGGGTACGCTTCTCGCTTCTGCTTGAACAGCTAATCTGGGATTTAAGTTTTACAGTGTTTGTTTTCTCTTTAACTTCATATTATGTTGCATTGAAATAATTGGACGGTTTGGGAAATGCTGAGACCGTTAAACCATGTTTGTTCAAAGGCTCTATTTGATTATCTAGACTGTGCTGAACAATCTTTTGCACATCAGTCTGATTCCAAACACCTTTAATATTTTGACTACTATTAAGGGAAAACAAATCAATTACTTCAACTTCCTGGAAATGATAGTACTTTTTGCCATCTGGGCATGCATGTAGTTACCTGTTTTGTTTCTTTTAGTTTCCCAGTTTTTTGATAGTACCTTTTGCCAATTCACTACACCTGGAAATGATTGGGTTGGAGTCGATTCTGTAATTGGTAGTCATACAGGGGTGAGAAGTATTAAGCCTCATTTTGATGATAACTATCAATTTGACGTAAAGTAGAAAGTCTTCAATTTTCTTAGCGTGGACTGAAGAACATATATATATATATATATGAAGTGAGAGTTTGTGCGAATTTTTGGTGAATGGGATGAGATTTCCATTGGAGAAGAAGAACTATGGTCAAAGGTTCGTTTAAATTAAAGAAATCTAATTAAAATGACTGATATACCCATCACCGGATACAGAATATGTAAAATGTAGTGTCGCCGCCGCAAAAGTCCTACATTGGAGACTTCAAAATAGTCGAAGGACTAAATTGGTTTAAAAAAATCATAAAGGATGAAATTGGTTTTAGTGTAAAAGTTTAGGGACGAAAATGGCGAATTTCCCAACCCAAAAACACCATCTCAAACTACTTGTCCAGATAGTGAGGATTGCCTAGCCTATGGGACCATGCACTAACAATGTTTATACCTATTTCTGATACACAAAACATTCAGAGGAGGCAATTGAATTGCCATAGAGCAACACATTGCAACACCCTATTCAAAATATGCCTACACTACTACATAACTTGGTAATTACAATCCTATATTTAATTAGATCAAACATGTTGCAGATTCATCAAAACCTTATGTTGAACCTGCTACTAACATTCTGTGCATCAATAGTCGCTTCAACAGTGGCTTCTACATGTATCTTTCCAAGCAGGTTCCACTCTTCTCTGTGCTCTAGATTCTGCTGGTCTCTCTCTATAGAGTGCCAAAAGATAGCCATACAGTTATACTATTAACATCCCACAGAATTGTGTTAACCAGTACCAATTTGTATGTGAAGACAACAGATGAAGATTATTAGAATAATACCTTTTTAATACCACTTGAAGTAGCTTGAATTTGAAGTTGAACATTGGTAGCACTGGCTTGAATTTGAACACCAATATGATCCTCAGTAGAAACAGCACTTGTATTTACCTGAGTTTATGCAGATGACTAGGATTTCTTGACATTAAAAAGTAATCTAACAAATATCACTCGTGATAGGATATACCAGAGTTAGGATGCTAGTATTACCGCCTTGGCTAGAGAAAACAATAGGAACATTTCCCTCAGTATGATCCTTAGTACAACAAATGAAGTGTGACAATATCAGCCTTGCAATCAGAGACTCGTAAACAAAAATGTAAGTCAAATGCATATCCAAATGTCTTACCCAGAGTACAGTACTAGATAAACCTCTATTAGCTAAACCTTACCTGGTTTGCCTCTTGTTTGAGCATTCTGGACAAATGAAATTAGTTGCAATATCACCTTATAACAAGTAAGTTAGTAACAAAGTTCAAATGGAATCACAGCATATATACTGGCTAAATGAATACCTTATTGCCGGCTTTATTACCCCCACTTTTTGCTCTAACAGGAGCTCTTTTCCAAGCTCTTTTGTTGTAAAATTTACAAAAAGAGCACCTAAATGCAGATTTGACTGTCTGAGTTGATGAAGTTTCTTCATCTGCTTCCCTTCTCTTATTCTTCTTTGGTCTCCCTAGTGCCCTTCTCAATGGAGGAAGTAACAGTGTAATAGGCATCACCTCTGGCATATCAAGCCAATTTCTCTCGTTTGGAATTGGCATTATGAGTAAGTCTTATGGCATATGTCAATTGTGAAGGCAGGATCACAGTAATGCTCAAGCTTCTCCCCTTCTATATATAATAGCCAATGCAATGCAACATGCTTACATGGTAATTCTGAAATTTAAAATGCCCCACATTCACACTTCCTTTCTGATAGGTTGGCTATATATGTCTTGTCAAAATCTATAACCTCAAACAATGTCTTACTTGCCATCGACAGTTCACACTATCTTGATTTTTCAGCTATGTCTTTCAATTTTTGTACAATATTAGGCAGCACATTAGTAGTGGATGTGCAAGTCTTTTGAAACCTTTTGTGCAGTTTCTTCATGATTTTCCTCCCCAACCCTTCAAGCATAGTAAGTATAGGCATTTGCCTAAGATCATCAAGCCAAGCATTGAATGATTCAGTGAAATTATTTGTCACATGATCATTCTTAATAGTCACAGAAAATGAATGTCCTGCCCAAACTGTGATTGGTATCTTTGTCAAGTATTTCCAAGCCTATATTTATATCCTTAATTCGTTGCATTGCCTCTTTGTGACCAGATTCATCATAGCTCTTAGCTGCTTGCCAAAAGTAACTTCCTAACAGCAGTCCTGGGAATAATTGCTTGAAATTGCTGTAGGCATGCCTACCGCAACATTTGGTATCACTTCTTCATAAGCCAAGTTCAAACCCTGCATGTTCATAGTTTAATTACCAATCACATAATATGAGTACTAAAGTATTAAAATACAGAATTGTAATAGTTAGCAGAAACTGAAACCCTACCTTTTGTCTATCGCTCATGAATGTCAGAAGCAACTGGTTATCAAATGGCCCAAAATATTCCTAAAAAAAAAAAAGAAAGAATCACGTCCAAGTCTCTTTATTTTCACATTCAACCACAACAAAAGTAAGTGGGAATATACTGTTATTCCCCTCCAAAGCAACAACAATGATTAAGATTTCTCCATAGGGTCCTTTAAGAAAGCATTCGTCAAAGCCAAAAAAATGGCCTGCATCCACTTATGATAGGATGCGATTTTATTATTTATTTTATTATTAATTTTCCCTATTACCTGACTCGATGTGGATTAATTGTTGGATTCTATTCACTTTTAGTATTTGACGTTTATTTCAGGGAGTAGAATAAAAATATGATAACAAGTACCAATTTGATAGAAAAGGAGAGCAAGTAGCAGCGCTTGTCCCAGGGGCAATTTTGGAAAAGAGAAAAATCTTTGGGCCCTTTCTTTTGGGCATGGGCTGAACCGAAGAAGGGTTTGTTCCTTTCTTGGCTGGAGAGCCGTGGCAGAAGGCAGGAGAGAAGCATGAGATAAAAACCAAAAAGAAGACGGCAGAGAAAAGGACGGCTGATTTTATTCTTAGTCTTTCGTC